ATCGCGATAGTTTTTAAAAATCAAATATATATCATATCATAACAATTCAACTGTTTATAATAATTTTAAATAACAAATTAAAAATATTGATTATATTTTGTTTTACCTTATAAACATATTTAAAATTAGTAAAGAATAAGATTTAGTAAATTTTTTATATACGGCATTAGTCGCATGTGTGTGGTTAAGGGGATTGGTGGCGGTGATTTCCTGTATTTGTCTAACACACGCACAACATAAGAATTTAAATGTCTTTTTTGTCAATCATACCTATTGATATAGAGAAGCGATAATAATTCTCAAAACAGATTTGAGATTGTCATCAAGTCTACTTGAGACCGGTCAGTCTTTAGGGAATAATATCAAATATGTAGACTGGCCGATCTTAATTAGACTTTACAAAAAATTCAAATCTGTTTTCAGAATTATTATAACTTCACTATATCAATCGGTACGTTTGACAAAAAAGACTTCTAAATTCTTGTTGTGCGCTTGTTAGACAAAGACAGAAAATCACAACCACCAATTTCTTAGTAAATAAATTATAAAATTATAGCTGTTTTAAAAGTTTTATTTTAGTTTTCCGGCTTTTGTGTACTTTGTAGTACGTATTAGCCATGTTTACAATTACATCATTAGTTTTATAGTAATTAACTCCTTTTAATACTTTATTTATTTTTTTTGTATAAGAAAATATAAAAAACATTATCATTTTATTTATTACTATATCTTTTAGACGGTGAATTTTACAGTTAAAATTAAATTCTACATTAAGTTCAATTGCAAAATTTAATTTTTGACTTAGGTTTGTCTCGTGGCAAAATTGTGGCATACATTGTGATAAAACTGAATAAATATTTTCAACTATTCTTTCAAAATTTTTAGTTGGGTTTTTCAAACTGTGTTTTGAATAACACCTAGCTTTAATTAAATCATTTGTTATAGTGTTTTCAGTTATATCACCTTTACAAATTAAACAGTAATTACAAATTTTCAAAATCCCACGAATAATATATCCACTTACATAACCTACAGTTAGTCCACTTGTCAATGTTTTAGGCATTTTTGTTGGCAAATCTAGTGATAAAGGTATGTTGACTGTGTCATTTGAAGGACTGTTAGGTATAGATGAACCATTTAGAAACGATTTCAAATTATCTAAAACAGTGCAGTCATCTGACTCACAATTGTTTCCAACCGACTTTGTTGAAGAAAAGTTATTTACAAGTAATGTTTTAAAAGAAGCAATAAATTGAAAAGAAGTTGGATTTATGTTCCTAACACCATGGCTACGAATAGATCCAAATAAGCATTCAATAGGATCTTGATTTATGTTTCTTGGGAGGAGAAATTTAAAATTATTTATCTTTTTTAATTTATCACTCCATAAATATTTAAATGCACGCAATGTTTGTATCCAGTTGTTCACGCATGGTGGTGTACTTTTTTTTCCATTTAATTTATTTATAAAATGCATGGATTGAAATACTTGTATGGCTTCATTCCAAAATTGCAAATGTAGAGACTTGTCAGTAACTGCAGCTCCTAAAGGTTTTCCATCTTTGGATTTAACAGTACTTCCATTTACAGAATCGAAAACCATATCAATAAATAGGCAGAATTCTGCTGTTCCACGTGCCTTTGAAAGTAAATTGTCCTGACCTAAAGTGTAAAAAGATTATAAGTATCATTTAACATGTATAGATTAATTAATAAACTCAGTTTGACTTACCATAATCTGCCATTAGTCTTAATGTAGCTGCCACTCTCTGACTTAGGGTTTGAGCTGCAACTGAAACACGCATCTTCTTAATTTTTTCCGGTATAACGTGGGATTCATTAAGCTTTGGCAGAGTGCGTAGACCAGAGGATTCATTTTCAATATCAAACTCAAAAAGTCTCCTAATGTGATCCCATGAAGCTTCATAAGACTTATTATTTTTAGTAAAAATACAATCTTTTGTTATTAAATTATTACGCATAGTTTTGAGTAGGTGTGGCGGATCAAACATTGGGATTATTTCTTGGTTATTAATTACGAAACCAAAATAATGATATTCGGTTTCATTTTGTAGGCAGAGATTTTTTGTTTCATTGGTCAGAATTTTTATGGCCGCACTATTTGTTCCGCCCTGATCACATACAGTCGTTAATAGTTGTAAACCAGTTGATTGGATAGCAGTAATAACTTCTTTAATACACTTAACTAATTGAGGAGTTTTTGTGGTACTCTGACAAAAATAATAAGCTACTGCTTGTTTCCACTTTCTATTGATTCCACGTAGTAAAAACACCAATACGTGGTCACTAAATCTACAAGTCTGTTGATCTTTACCAAAATTTTCAAACCCAAAAATGAAATCATCTTTCTTACTGTATGTTAACGACGGTTCTAAAGCCATTTCATCGAAGACGAGTGAACACAATCTGTCATTTGGTTTTAGTTTAGAAGCCTGATGTGATAGGTTCTTAATAATATGTTCATTGATCCCAGCTTTGAATGGTACGTGATTAAGTAGATTAGTTAAAGTTTTTTTGGATGGTAAAGCAAAAATTGTTGATAGAAAACGGTAACCCTTTGGAGAATTTTTATACAAAGACAAGGATAAAATTTTGTCATTCAATGAATACCTGCGGCCGTTAGGTTTTTTTTTTTGACATTTGATCTGAGAACTAAAAAATTCTAATGTTGTTTTGTTTAATTTGCTCATAAGCTTTTCAGTGTTGATAGAATCTGCAAATTTTTCAGCCAATCTCATTCGTGATTTAAATTTATTTTTATTTATAACCAATCTTTCATTTTTGTTCTTTAGTTTCAATGCTTCGTTTAATAACTTTTTACACTTAGGTGTTAAATGTCGTTGATTTGTAACATTTATTTGCTTCAATAACTCATTTGTTTTCTTATACCGAGTAGGAATAGAATTGGTTTTAACCTCTGAAACTGTATCTTGTATTAAGCTAAATCCACTAATGCCAATTTCATCTGAAATACAGAAAATGGACAATTATAAGTAACTTTTAAATAGTGAGGTATTTAAATAGGTACAGTATAGGTAAGCATAGGGGGAGGGGAGACGTGACCTAAGTTTCAGTGACTTCTTTGCGAGTACCATCAAATTAAGAATACCAAATACACATTCTGAAACAAAAAAATTCGAAAAAAATTGCTTGGGTGCTACATTAATGCCATTTAAATACAAAATTTATAATGTAACATTTTAATTATTCCTTCCTTCAAAGTTAAAATACCTATCTTATTATTATCCTATTATCATCATTATTTACGCCTATGTAGGTAAGTATAAAATTAAATGAAGGAAATTAAATATTTTTTATGTTAAAAATCATATTACTAAAACATACCATTGCAGTGAATTTTAACAGCGCCTCTTTTAGTAAATGGTGATAGTGGTGTTACTGTATCAGTTCCAGACGACTTCATAGACTCTGACATTTCATGCGATTGGCCTAAAAATATTTATAATTAATATTTATTTATCTACTATATATAATTTAGCTACCACTATGTATTTACACTCACAAGGAAAAAGTTCAAGTAAAGCTAAGGGTCGCTCGGGTATCTCGTTTGATTCATAAATTGGCAAAATATTGTTACTATCAACTGGTTCATCTAAAAAAATAAATATATATATATATAATTCAAAATGTGGTTGCTTTAACAATCAATTATGAAATCATACTTGGAAATTTCACCGACATGGGTGTTGATTGTCCACTTATTTTGTCCATTGGAAAACTGACATCCATGTTTTCATTATTAAAACCTTTAAAACAAATATACCAAAAATTAAGAAAACATTTTTTAAGTTAGTTACATCATAATCCAAACAATGCTCATAATTATTACTAAAAGTTAATAGGTATATCTTAACTCATAAGAAAGAGAATATTTGTTCTTTAAGAATATTATCAAATCATTTTTATGTTATTTGTACAAATATTGAAAAAAATAAATTGTACCTATATATATAGGTACTATAAGTACCTATAGGTACTTAAAAGGTATACCTTACAGTCATACAAGAATGAAATTAATCTTAATTTTTAAAACAATTTTGTTTATTGAAATGGTATAGCTTCAGTTCATAATCTATCTAAATATTATAAAATTTCTTAAACTACCTATTGTATTAGTACCTAATTTGTAATTTTCTTTTTGTATACTACTAGATTTATGTTTGTATGACATATTAATTTTACCCCTTTGGAGTGTTATATTAAATAAATTAAATAAAAAGTATACAACTGAAGAAAGTTATTATGTTTTACTTTAAAGAACAATTCCTAGAATTAAGTAGTTAAAAATAATTAAAGGAAAATAGTACAAATATAATGTATATTGTAATATATACAATATAAAATTAAATTAAATAATACTTTACCTTTCGCTCTTATTTATGATTTTCAGTGTTTGACATTTAATTTGTGTTAGTAAAATTGTAACCTGTTACAACAAATCTAAAACAAAGTAAAACATCCATGACCTGAAAAAACTTCAGCTGGGACTCGAACCCAGATTCAATTATATGAATGTCTAAATTACATATTAATTACATTGAACATACAACATTTAACTACAACATTTAAACTAAATATAATACATAATACATGAGGATTTAGGTATTATTTCTAGTATTATTTAGAAAGGTAAAGTAAAATATCAAATATCAAATCAATCATTGATTGACATTAAAATATTTGTTTAAATACTCACAACATATAATGTATTAGTAACTTATTGAACAAGTAATACCTATACCTAGTTTAAATAAATTGATTTTTTGTCAACATTATGTGGCAAAGGTACAACACTTAACTACAACATAATAGGTTCTAAATATAATACACAATACATTAGGATTAGTTAAAATACCCAATTCACAACATATAATTTATAAGTTAACTTAAAAACAATTTAAATCAATTACATTTTATGTCGACACAATACATACCACAAACGAAAAAACATTCGTACATACACAAACATGTCACCAGACACCGATATAATTTAATTTTTTACATTATTACTTGGTAAAAATAAAGTTGGTAGTGACCCTTTTTTAAGCTTTTTTGTTCCTGGGCTGTCACATGATTCAGCAAAATGTAAATGACAAACCGCATACCGGCGTCGAACAACAGATTTGTCAAGATGAAACAATTTGTTATTATTACAACGCTGCAACCACGTGTTAAAATCATCGTCATTCTGTGGAAAGACATGTTTTCGCTCTTTACTTTTACAGCCTAAAACACTGCAGTTAGATGACGGCATTGCGGTTTTAAAATAGTTTCAAGTTAAACACTGAACGACAAAATAATTTGAAAATGGAAAGCAGTAAGCACTTGAAAGTTGAAAATGTGGTATTCGCAATTCGCATTCGAAATTCGCGTTTTCGAAATATATTGTTTGTGATAATTTACTATCACGATTTTATGGAACATGGCACCCGAGACGCTCCTGGTGTTACGATTTTATACTATTTTACAGTAGCATATGCTATCTGTACGAGTGCATACCCCCTGATCAGAACTACCTATCTACCTATTTTAACATTATTTTTCTCGAATGCAAATCAAATTTATTTAAAATTTGTTCACTTTTTAAATTATTTGTGATGTCCCTCTCAATATTTAAAATTGATAAGTTGCTAAATCTTTGCTGTAGCATACTCGTTCGTAGCCAATTTTTAATTCGGCGCATACTGGAGAAACTGCGCTCACAGGTAGCAGAACTTATTGGAATGGTGATACCTACCTGAATAAGTTTGTACAAATTAGGATATGTTACTATTTGTATGTTTTTTTAACATCATCAAAACTGAAATTTGTAGGTAAGCAATTTTTAAAGACCATCATTTCAGCTTTGAGCATATCTACTGAAACATTCATAACATCCTAAAAATAACAGTTCAATTAATATAGTAAGATATAATTTTTTTTTTAAAATATTTATTTCAAATTGTATTAGTTCTTGGCGACTCACCTTATAATGATTTATAAATAAAGAACTTCCATTGAAATCAAGATTCAAAAAACAATCAATAGATGATGACATTGATAAACTATCCACAGAAAATCTTTTTTTTAAATTGATAATGATACCATCAATTATTGGGAAATAAAGATTTTTTTTCCAATAATCTTCAACTGTTAAGGAGTTAATATTATTTTCTTCCCCAGTGATAGTATCCACATGAAAACTGTTCAAATATTTTGGTTGTGTTCTTTTTCGTTTTCCTGGTAGGTAATTAAAAACAAATTAGTTTAGTTTTAGATAAAATAAATTTGAATAGTTAATTGTATTATACTTATGTCAGGTATATCAAGCGTAATATCATTTTGTGCTGCCAATAATTCAAGTTTCACAACGTAATTTTTCAAATGATAATATTACACCATTTATAATATTTTTAGCTTTACCCAGAGTGCCAGTTTTTGATTGTAATGTGGTACTTAGTATGTTAATAATACCAAGAACATCTTTTAACAAAATAACCCCAATAAAAAATGTATACTTCTGTAATTCCCTAAGAATACCTGAAATTAAAAGTTTAGTTAAATATTAATACAAACAAATATTGTACCCATATAATGAAAATGCCCATTGTCTAAACTTTTATTATGTTATTTCTGAAAAAACAAAATTTTTATTATTTCTATAATGAATAGTGAAAATTTAAAATATTTAATACCTATTGCTTCGACAACATCTTTATCAGATCTTCAATCTCGTTACTTAAATATTCTAATATAGCAGTGTAATTACTTATCATTGCTTCACAATTTTTAAATCGGCACACCCACCGAGTGTCACATACTCTGAGGATACTTCCTTTTTTTAATCCTAGATCCAATTGAATTTTACCGAGTTTCGTATTGTTAGATGGACGAGCAAAATGAACGTATACCATTTCTAACGTATTAAAAACACAACGAGCATTCTACAAAAAATAGGTTGTAATATTATACAAATTAAAAACTTCAAATACCTAAATTATATTTTAGTTAAAATAAATTAATAATATACTTAAACTTAAAAAATTACCTTAATTTCTTTACACAAGTCCACAACAACTAAGTTCAACCTGTGGGCCATACAATGTGTGTATATTGCATAAGGATAATCTTCTTTAATTTTGGCTTGGACACCTCCGATATGGCCAGACATCACACTGGCACCATCATACGATTGTGCCACAATATTTAGTGTATCCATGTTTAAATTACAATTTTTAAAACTACTGTAAATAGCAGAAACAATTTGATTGGCATTCTGGCCACAAGAAACATCAACAAATTGTAAAAATCTTTCATAAATGTCGAGGCCAACTGCATAACGCACACAAACAGACAATTGTTCTTGTTTATGAGACCTAGCCTCATCAACCATTAGAGCAAAATGTCCAGTGTCAAGAATTTGTCCAACAATAGTTTCTGTTACCAAGTCAGCACTAATTTTAATAAGTTCTTCTTGAATTTTCCAGCTGGTCAAGTTTATTTTTTTTTTGATAAAAGCTTTGAAATTCTGGCATAAACTTTGAAAAAACTACATTGCATAATTCTTTAAAATTACCTATATTATATGTTTAAAATATTGTTTATTAAACTAAGTTCAAGTACTAAATATTTTCAGACACCTATTATTTACCTTGATTTATTGAATCAGTTCCTTCATTATGTCCTCTTAGTGCAATGCCTTGTTTTGCAATGTACAAAATTATTTCAATTAAGCTTGACATAAACTTGCAATTTCTTGCGACTTCTTCTTTATGAAAACTAGACAATTGAGTAACAACTGATCCAGTTTTTTCACTTGACTTATATGCCATCATCTTCGATTCATTTGTTTTATGGTTGATAGTAGCTAAATGACTTTTAAGTTTCACTATTAACTGACATACAAATAGGTAGACATAATATGGGTATATCAAAACATTTTAAGTGTTGTTTTTAGAATTATTAAAAGCATTATTTATTTTGATGTTATTTGAAATAATAATATTTAATCATATACACAAATACAAAATACAAAATATGCAAAATTAAACTTAAAAATGTCTTCCACTATCAGTTATTAAAAGGAATCTTTAATAAATTGTGTGTGCTGTTGTTGTACAAATTGCACAAAAATAGGTTTTAGAATACAGATATTAAATATATAGATTATAGGTTCTAATGGTTCTATACATAGCCTATAATAAGTACCTAAGTATTCGGTACTCACAACTCACTATATAGGTACTCAAATGTATTAGTTCCAATAGGTACTAGGTAGGTAGCCTTAAGTCCTTAAATAAGTATTTTAAGGTACCTATGAGTACTTACTTTTTTCCAATTGTTGAAGCCAGTCCTAGTCCATGCATCTTCACTATTCTCTGGTCCAAAAATACGACAAACAAAACAGAATGCAGCATTACGTTGAACACTATACTCTAACCAATCACATTCTGTATACCACTGACAACGAAATGATCTAAACTTTTCTCCGAATTTAGTTCTTTTGTAAGCCTATTGAGTAGAGTGTACAAATTATTTAATTATTTTACATTTAATTATTAACTATAAAATTAAAATCGTAAAATAATCAATTAATCAAGAATTAATCTCAAGAAAAATTTGCTTAAGCTTAAAATATAGAATTATAAAATAATTTACTATTTATAGTACAGAACACAGATTACTTACTGCTAGATTAGGACGTCGTGGTCCACTCTCTCGATCACCCAAATCAGCCAAATCATTAATGCCATCAGTATTTTTATTGCACTGTGAACTTATTAGATCAGGCTGATCTGAACAAGTAGAAGCGCTTGAAACTTGAACAACACCTGGATCGTCAACTCGTTCTTCAGTTATTTTTTGTTTTTTAAATATAGGTACTAAACATTTTTATTACGTAATAGTTATTACTATGACTTATTTATTAAAAAGTAATTATTATTAATATAACATTATTTATTGAAAAATGTACATATTATATTTATTAACTTACTATATTTACTTACTGGATTTTCCAATATTTTGTGAAATTTCTTTCCATATTGAGTCTTTCATTATTAAATTTTTATACTGCATGAGGGAACTATCATATAAAATTGGGTATTTTCTGACAAATTCAATAAAAATTTCATCTTCTTGCGAAGAAAATACTACAGCCGACATTTTGGGTGATCAGTCGCGTTGCACTGCTCGTGTCGCGGTATTGTCGCTGGTCGCGGCGACAAGTTGATCTGTCGCGCGCTGCAGTCGCGTGTTAGACACCAGTGAATAGAAAACGCAAATAAGCGGTGGGGCCGTAACTGTCGCGGCGACCGGTCGCGCATAAGACACCGTACCTTAATGGTCCAATTACTTAAAATATGACATCATGACAATAAATTATTGTTGCTGGTAGCAAATAAGCACGATGACTACCTTGGGTTCGAACGATATAGGATTTAATACTTTTAACTTCTGGTCTTTATAATCGATAAGAATTATTGACCAGTGCCGAAATCACCTTCAGTTGGGCGAACGGCGGACACCCATACATTTAGGGGCACAACTCAACCTAACCTACTTGAATTGATTTTAAAATGTAATATCTTTAAACCTGGGGCTTACAAACCCTAATAACTGTGGTATCTACTGGCGAGGTATAACACATTTACTTTACACACAATAACCGCCTCCTAAAACCACCGAACTTTGAGGAACAATATCTCATCAACAGATTAACGAAAAATGAAAATTTGAACGTGATAATTCATAAAAAAAATAGCTTTAATAGTTTATGAAATTATAAGTATAGGTTACCATTTGAAAATCAAAAGTTGATAGTTTGCCTAATTAATATAAGGGTGAAAAATATAAAAAAAAATATAAAATTCTAGAACAGCGTAAATCTACAATTTTGGAAAAAAAATTTTTTGAAAAAAGTCAATACTTTTTTAAATAATGAGTGTTGTTTGATAAAAGAATCACCCTGTATATTATTGTACGGTACCTTCTATTATTTTAATGTATTATATACTTCAAACAATATCAAAATATCACTAAAATTATATTTCAACTGTACACATACATAAATACATTAATTAAGCAGATTTTATAAAAATTTACTAAGACATGGTATACTCTGCCGTACCTCCGTGTACTTTTTTTTATTGACATTCGATAATTGTTATTGAATTGTGTTTCAATGCTTTGCTACATGAAAAAACTTACAGAGGTTGGGTTCTTAGTTTTGCTACTAGAGTACAGCAATATCGGTAGGCACATCATTTATATTATGTAGTATGTAATAATTTTGTCTACATCTTTGTTTGTTAAATATTAATTATCACGCAACACACTTATTCCAACTCCACTTTAGTTGTAAACGTCGACGCCATTACTACAGTAGACTTATTATAGATTATTACTATTTTTGTACGAATGACACTTTTATATTCATTCAGTTCCTTAGGTATATCCACCACGATTATAATTCGAATACTTATATTTTTCACTTACACCTTCTCCAACTGTTTCCTATTGTAAATGTCTGTTCGTTTAAATGACTCTACGTTATAATAGTATATAATTTGATTCTCGCTCAGCCTTATACAATAATTATAACAATTATTACAACAGTTGACGGTAAGAAGATAGTGTTAGCCATCTTATACATAGCATTGTATTTGTTTTCAGTTTTGTAAACACAAGATACGTCAGCCCGTCAGAAGGCATCTGGCGGCTGTTTTCGTACGAATTGCACAAGAGAAGTCACACGATCGTCAGACTTCCTGTCCTCCTAGAAGGTCGACAAAACGTCTACTTTGCGCCGGGACAAGCGCAAGAGCTGTTGCAAAACGAAGCTCTACATCGTACGAGGCTAACTGAGTTCTTCGCGCTCAACATAAACGACGTGGAAGCTCGACAATACCGATATACCGACGCATTACACGTGGAACGCTGCTCAGAGGACGTGGGCACAACAGTTGGACGACATGAACGCCGAACAGCGAACTGTGTTCGACCGCGTAATGGCGGCCGTCGACGACGGCCTAGAAGCAGCGAAGACTTTCTACGTCGACGGATCTGGCGGCACCGGAAAAACGACTGTACGGATGCCTCATTTGGTCGCAGCAGTGGCCGGTCGGTGTTATGCGTCGCATTCATCGGGATTGCTGCGTCACTCATGGACGGCGGCATGACCGTGCACTCGACGTTCGGATTGCCGTTCGGCACGCTGACCGACGACTCTACATCGACCATCACCATGCAGTCCGAGCGAGCGCGCAAGATACGCGACGCGGCACTCATCGTGTGGGACGAGGCGCCAATGTCCCCGGGACTGCAGCTGACGGTGGTGGACCGCCTGCTCAGGGACGTCATGGGATCAGAATTACCGTTCGGCGGTAAACCCATGCTGTTCTCGGGCGACTTCAGGCAGATATTGCCCGTGGTCCGAAGAGGATCGAGGGCTGACATCGTCATGTCCTCGATCAAGCACAACAGTCTGTGGCGCGGCATGGAGTGCTTCAACCTGGTCCGCAACGTGCGCGCCGACAACGACGCGCGCTTCGCTGCTTGGTTGCTCCAGCTCGGCAACGGTCGACTGCCCGCGGTCGACGGTGTCCCAGACACCGTGCAAATCCCCCGGGCAATGACATGTGACGTTGCTGATCTCATAGATTTCTTCTATCCGGAGCAAATGTCGTTGGCCAACGTCGACGACTTTTCTCGGAGAATCGTTCTGTGTCCCAGGAACGACGAATGTCGAGCCGTCAACAGGGACGTGCTTCAGCGCGTCGACGGTGCCGAGAGGAGCTACACCTCCATCGACACCGTGGTCGTCGACGATCCCGACGAAGTGGCCAATTTCCCCACAGAATTCCTCAACAGTTTGGAACCGGACGGCCTGCCGCCGTACCGGCTGACGTTGAAGGTGGGGTCAATCGTCATGCTGCTCAGAAATCTCGAACCGAAGAGACGGCTGTGCAACGGCACTAGGTTGGTGGTCACCGAACTGCGTCATCACAATTTCAAGGCCAGGATTTTGAACGTTGACGCACAGGACGATATAGTCGTGCCTGCGATACCGCTCACGTCCAGCGGCGAGGACGACCTGCCCATCATAATGCGGCGCGTTCAGTTCCCGGTGAGGTTGTCGTTCGCCATGACCATCAACAAGTCGCAGGGTCAGACGTTCGACCGAGTGGGTCTGCTACTGCCGTCGCCCGTGTTCACGCACGGGCAACTGTACGTGGCGTTCTCGAGAGTGAGAAACGCACAGTCACTGAGAGTCGGCATGTACACCGATGTCACCAAGAACATCGTGTACAGGGAGGTTCTGGACTGATGCGTTGGTAATCATATCGGTTTAACACGGCTAATATATTTTTCAAACACAATATATTACGCTGCTGTTATTCTCGAAACACTTAGCTCTGACACGGTTAATATATTTTTCAAACATAATGTATTATGCTGCTGTTATTCTTGTAAGATGTCACACATAGCTCTGACACGGCTACTATATTTTTCAAACACAATATATTGAGCCGTGGTTATTCTTGTGCTTCGTGGTCTTTGTGGTCTTTGTGGTGGAGAGAAAGTTTGACAACCTCCACGTGGTTCTCTCTGGATGCGGATTCACTATGATATGAGTTCATAGTGAATTCGTAACTAATGTCAACATTTTTATTGTCATGTTATGTATTCGATAACTGTTATTACCTATAGTAATATGTTTACAATATGTCTGTTACATAAACTATATTATGTGCCTTAAACATTATTTGATGATAATTATTAATTTGTGTCATGTAACAATTTGTACAAACTACACTACTGGGAATTGCTGTTAATTTATTTTTTTTCTATTAACGATTGAGATTTTATTTTATTTCATTATTTGTGTAACAATTGCAATTAATTAAAAAAAATTCTTATTCTTAGTAGGAATAATAAACATCATCATAGTTTATAGTATTTAGTTAATTAAGAATATTGCTGCTTAACATCTTATTTATCGTTTTGTCACTGTATAATTTTTTAATTTCACCATGTTAACATAACACCTGAGACAGGTGTATTTCATATGATATATGGTAAAATTTTGTACACACTATAATATCACTGTGACTTTTTTATTGTATTTTGATTGTATTCGATTTACTTACTGTAGAGCATTGCTTCTTTAAATAGTTGGATTTCATTCATACATATTACTATAATAACATGTAATACAACACTTTGCACACACCATGTCACCGAAACTCTGTTAGTTCATTTATTTTATATTAATAATTGAGATTTTATTTCATTTTAAGATTTGTACTGCTATAATTTGTTGTATTTTTTATTATGTTATTCATGTTTTTATTAGTAAATTAGTAATTATTGTCACTATTGTTATTGTTGTTATCATATTTAAAAATGTAATTAGTGTTATTATATTATGTAAATTGGGCTCTGCCCGTATTGTTAATAATAAATAAATAAATAATACAAATTGCAATTCATTAAATTATATTAACAACGACAATATTTGATTTTATCACTGTAGAAGAGTAGCGTTCTGTACTTGAAATCGAACTAATCAATCAATATAGTAGATTACTATTTACCTTTAGGTATTGATAAGAGTTTCAATAGAATGTGGTTAGTTGGTTCTTTAACCTCATCTCTTAACCCTTTGAGTCACACATTCATTTTTTTTTTTCAATTCAATTTTTTTATTAAAATATCAAAACATAACATTATCATATAATAAAAAAAAAATTTTCAAACACTTTTTTAAAAAATTGGTGGTTTTACTATAGAACCACTATGAAGTAAAGTATAACAGATTATTTTGTATGAAAAGATATAAAACAGTTTTTGTCATTTGTCAAACACAAGCCAATTTTGCAGGACATACATTCCCATTTGGTTCTTTGGGGCTTATCTTTGGTACTACAATTGTTGCATCTTCTTGAAGAACAAGATTGTGGGAGATGACCCACATTTAAAACCGTTGTTCTATGGGAATTTTTGGTTTAAACAAGTTAATTTTTTTAGGAAGTTGTTTTCTCCCTTTTGGTGATGTACTTGGTAACCCAACTAATCCAGCTACTACTGCAAGTCTAAATTGTTTTATATTCAATGTAGAACCCTGACTGCTTTCTCTAAACAGAATAAATGAATTTACTAACGATACATCCAAAAAATAAAAAAAGATGCGGTGCTACCATTTATGACTCTTCCTGTCAATTTCATAATAGGATTTCAACATGTCAGCATAATCAACATAACCCATATGAGTATTATAGTTTGTAACTGCTAGTGGCATGAAATACTCATAGTTGATCCATTTTTATTTTTTCTTGTACATGATGAAATATCATCAGGATTGTGAAAGTTTGACAATAGTTGAATACAACGGTTGTCTCGCCACTTCAACCATGACACTCCTATTGTAGGAACACGTCCTTCACTATCGCCTTTCTTTAATTTGTATTTTTGGTAGTCCTTTTCTGTTAGCTCGAACAGTGCCACAAGCATATATTCCATCTTGTAACAATTCTTCCATTAGTTCAAGTGATGTAAAAAAATTGTCAAAATAAACATTATGATATTTTCCTTTTATATTCATAATCAAATCTTGGACAACTCGTTTTCCTAAAGTTGTTTCTACTGAATCTGTTTTTCCCGCGTAAAATTGAAACTCACATATATAACCAGATTCATCAGCACGAATCCACACTTTGTAACCACGTTTTATCGGTTTCATTGGCATGTATTGTTTAATAGAATTTCTGCCTTTGAAACGTATCATGCTCTCGTCAATTGATTGATTTTTGTTAGGAATGTAGTGCTGAAGAAATGTTTTTGATAATGTGTCAATTAGTGGCCTCACATTATATAGTTTATCATAAAATATATCATTTCTATTAGGTCGAAAATTATTATCAGATAAATGGATATGAGCTAAAAACCAAGAAAATCTATTCACAGGCATGAAAGATGAAATGTATTCATCCCTGAGTTGAGGGTTTGATGACCAATAATCTTTATAGGAAGGAAGTTTTTTAATACCCATAAGCAAATTGATTGCCAAAAATGTCTTCATTGACTGAGAAGTAGCAGGTTCAAATGGCTTTTGTTTTTGGTGTGCATAAAAATTGGTTTGAAAAACCAGATAATCAATAAAGCTTTCAGGAAAAATACAATAAAAATAACTTTGTGGATCTCCAAGCCCTGGTGGTAAATTAGGCCCACCTTTTCCTTGGAATGGTAATGGATCTGTCATCAAACCATGCTCTTCCCATATGCCTTCCACATTTTTAAGCCTGTCAAACAAAGGTACATTATCTGGATCATACATATTGCACCTCATAGGAGTGTTTTCACAGATGGCCTAAGACATTAAACAAGTTTTATTTATTTATAAATAGCAAAATTTACAATTCTAACATTTATTTTTTTTTTATAATTACAATACATTATATTATATGAAATATCAATATAATTGAATATATATAATATAATATATATAAAAATAAAATATATATTACAATTATATATTGCAGTAAAAACTAAATAATTGCATGTATAATCTATATAATATTTATATAAATAAAATGTAGGTACTCACAATATCATTGTCAATGACAATATCTTCAACATTTTGAGATTGAACATACTCAAAACTATACTCTTCATTATAAGTAACTGGATCTAAACTAGATGGTATATTTATGACAATTACATCATTCAATGTGTTTTGGTTATCCTAAATTGTGCAATCACTTCAATATAACAAAGGTTTTAAAAAAACTAATTAATTTTATAATTATTTACTTCAACTGTATAGGCATTTTCATCTTCATCTAATAAATCATCGCAGATTGAACCATCATCACTTGGAATAGATTCAAAAATTTCAAATAGTTCATCTTGAGATAATTCCTCTATATTTATTTTGTCAAGGCTCATAGTGGTTTCAGCCAAAACCACCTAAAAACCAGTTATTTTAAATAACAAAATATAAATAAATATGAATTATGACGATAAAATATTGTTTTTAGTGTAGGTACTTACTTTGCAATTTATAACAAAAGTTCGGGCTTTGGAGGCGTACAGAAGGCTAATTCAAAATAAATGTAACCACAAAATTTGCATAGACAAAAATTACATATTCACAACAAATTATTTATTATTAATTGATAACTAATTAATCTAGGACGATGAAACAAAAAACAAAATGTACAGTGCTACCAACATGATATTCTGGAGGCGGTTTCAATAGAATACCACTGCGAATAACCGCACAAAAAAATTACAAAAAGGTGGTTTCGGTTTAAAACCACTATGGCTCAAAGGGTTAAACAATTACAATTAGTAGCAAGACATAACTCGGTCAATGGTCGGAAAAACTTGTCCATCCCTTTCTGCAATTGAATATTTCCATCAACGCCATATATTGTAATGACAACTCCTGAATTACGTTCTGGATTAAAACATATACTATTTTGACAACGATTTGATATTTTATATGATGGCATATTTCCCAGTAACTTTTCGCTCATAGATACAGCCGTTTCTACTGTGTTAAATAACCGTATACCTCCAATAATTTCTTCACTTTCTGTTATGAAATGAAGTGTCAGTAAATAAACGCGATCTCTGTACATATCTTAAGTTGGTCTATTACCAATCATTTTTTTTTACAAAATCAGCTGTTTTATGTAGTTTTTTTCCTTCTGTAAAATATTTTCTGAAATTCTCACTCTCTGTTACAGAAATCGCTAAAACTGAAAAGATTGAATCAGCTGAACAAGTATTGCTCAGCAACACTTTGTCGAAAACGGGAACGAATAATGGCTTGTTTTGAAAGCAGGAACCATTTCGTAGTAGGGCTATTTCATTAACTGGTTTGACATTATTTAATTCTAAATATTCAAATCCAGTCTGTTTGGCTAAGTATGATTTAGCGGAGCGTGATTTTGACGGCGATGTACTACCTTTATTTCTCCAATTTTCAATTGCATTTTTTTCTTTGTCCAATTCATATTTTGTACTGCACGACAAGCAAATTCTGTTTTGTCCGCATCCTTCTTCACTAGAAGGGTCTTCTACAGAACATCCAAATACTTGTACTGCCTTATTACATGTGTTACAGCGATGGAGACCTGTCGGAAAATCTCCATTTTGGCAGGCAATGCATTGAACCAAAGTATTTGTAATAATATAATCTCGGTTTATTGTCTTACAAGATTTATCAGATGATATAGAACTACAAACTGGTTCTTCAATTAAATGTACTTTACTTAATTCATCGTCTTTCTTTGTCTGAAGAATAAAGATGATCACCTCTGTAGAAGTCTACTAATTGTTCAACAAAATCATCCACTCTAATCGGAAGGTTATCATTTTTGAAAATCAGGTTTTTTATATTGTTGAAATTGCTTTCAACTCTACTACTTGGAGCAATATTTTCACCATAGTTGAACACATTTACCATTATATTTGACAAACAAGGGAATAATTTCATACAGTTTATAATCATTGGGACTATTTCGGGAGTGTATTGGGCGTTGTCGAATTCTTCCTCAATCCCATCAATTTTTTCTTCACATTTTGTAGCCAACAACTTTGCCCAGTCCTTGAATGAATTCAATTCGTCGAATGAATCAAAAGAATCAAATTCCATTGTCTGTTGTTCATCACTGTTTTCTGATTCTATGATTAGCGAATCTGCGTTGAAACTACTACTGCTAATTTTGGATTGTAGAAATACTTTGATAAGTCTACAATGAGTATCCTGTTTTTGTGTATCGAAATTCGAAACAATAGGC